TTTTTTGAAGCAGGGGGTTTTTTGGGGTTTTGGGGGGGGGGGGGGTGGTGTTTTGTTGGGGTTTGTTTGGTTTTTTTTAAATAAACTTTTCTCTTTTTCAAGAATCAATTCACAAAGTCTTTTCAACATAAATTCTGGAACCAACTCTCAACATGTTAAATAGCTCTTAGCTAAGAAGACTGTTTTGGACTTGATGTAGTCAATATAAAAAACAAGGAATATTGTGGAAAACAGGGTCTCGGCTCTTTATGGAATAGTTCTTCTATATTCCCTGTCCTTCCAGAGCTCATAATCATCTTCTGTTCTTCTGAGATGATCCAAGCATATGTTTTCCAAGTTTAAGAACAGCAACACAGCAACGGGTGCAAATAATGTGCAAAATGAGTAGGGCCTTCTGGCCAGAGTAATCTACCCTCTTGGGACCAACAAGTTTTTACATGTGTTGTTTCTAAACATTGTCTGTCTGCATAACATTAATAACAAAGAAAACTTTGTAAACTCTCCTTATCCTCAGCTACCACAGTTTAGTGATCGAAATTTTGTAATGCAGTCAACTCCTTCCCACAAAGGAAGCAAAAGCTGTTTGCCCTAAAACACCAAGGACAAGACAAACAAACAAACAGAATAATTTTATTTATCTGGGCAAAATGAGAGCACAAAGACACTCAGTGACCTGATGAAACAGAATGCCACCTCTCCAATGAGGTAAATTATATAAAGACCAAAACCAACAAGCATTACTCACCTAATGTTAAGGTAGGTAAGCATTTGCAGGTTTTTAATAGATTCTGGAATGGATTTGATACAGTTATGATACAAATTTAACGTTTCCAGTGGTGCAAATAGCCAGACATCAGGAGGAATTTCAGTAAATCTGTTCTTTGAAAGATCTAGAAGCAAAAGAAAAAAAAAATTTAAAAATCCTTTTAGTCAAAAATTTCCCTGCAGTAAGAGGAGATAAAAGTAACCACTGTTATTCTTGTCATGCTCCTAAAAATTAAGGTGCTATAAGAAGTGTAAAATAATTCAGTTTTACCAGATGCTACTGCATATAATTAATACACCAAAAAAAGACTTAAAAAACCGAAGGTTATTGTTTGATATGCAATTATAACAGAAAATAGAAAAACGACATTAATTCAAAATATATTACCCATTACATAATTAAGAACATTTTAAATGCAACTGAATAGTAATTATGATTGTCCCTCCTCTAACAGTCTTTGTTCTGAGCAACTGTTGGGATTTTTTCCTCCAATTCTAGGCACAACAGTAAGTCAAGGTACAAACCCAATAAACATTACTTTTCCTGTTTGACAGCTACATTAGAATATAATTTCATTGTACAAAATATCTGCAATGCTAAGGCCAAGTATGCAAAAAACCCTACATGTTTATTTTGCTGAAGAACTACAATCTAAAACTACAATCTCATGTAAAAAATATTCTTTATCGCAAGCACAGTAACTGAGACGTTCTCCAGCTACACATTTATAACTCAGCTAAAAAGATAAAGTCACAAAAACCAATGCAAAACTCATTTAGCTATAAAAATAAGTATGCAGTTTAGCCTGGCCTAAGAGCAGAAAAAGGAGGTATCTTTGACAAAGGAAACATAATACTTGAACTAGAGTTAGTTGACAATGCATGACTGCATTATGCAAATCTTCATGCAGAAGATATGAAAAACCAGCACACACCATCTCTGACTACATGAGATCTTTAAAAAGACCAGAACAAGTGGGATGTGACCCAAGAATCCTGGAAATTACCAGTTAACTACCAAAACCTGTGTCCTAGAAAGTCCACAAAACTACCTTGGAAGAAACAGGTATTTACTTGAGAATGACTGTCTACTCTTTTGAAAATAACTCTAGTTCCCAACCCAAGATATTTCAAAAGGATGTGGTTTCTCAGAAATGCTGAACAAACTCTTTTAACAAAGCGGCAATACAGATCTCTTGCTATTTCACGCTTTAGTTCTCAGTTTTTAACGCTTGCATGAAATAACTGTGTTTTTGCATAGCTCCCACCACATTATCACTGGAACGAACATATAGTTTGTTTTATGTTAGACTGAAAAAACAGACTAGGAAGTGGCTGGAAAAGTGGCTCGAAGTCAACGTCAGGCTCAAAGAAGAAACATAACTGGCAAACCAGCTATCAGCAGCATTTGTCAGGGCCAATACATGAATCAACATCGTTTAGTATCTTCATCAACAACCTGGAAAACAGGATAGAATACCCTCAGGAAGTGCACAGACAAAACCAAGTTGGAGGCAGTGAAGATGCAACTCTCACACTGGAGTGATGAGATGCCAGTCAGAGTGACTTTGACTGGCAGATGCCAAATCCAGTTTAATAAAGGCAAATGCAGAGACTTGCACCTATGGCAGAGTAGCTCCTCACACAAGCGTGGGCTGGAGGACAAAAGGGTGGAAGATAGCTTTTCAGAGAACACCACATGATGCCAGTACACAACAGGCCGAATGCAAGTCACCAGTGTGCCTAGCAGTGGGGAAGGCCATCCACACAGTGCGCTGCAGATGCCCGTCAACTAAAATAGTCTGGTACAATGAAACATCACTTCCCAGTAGCATTATTTTTGGAAGTAGCCTCAACTATGCTTCCTGTAGTCTAGAATATGTGGTATTTGTGAGCTAACTGGCTGTCACTCCACCACTGTCACTCCATGCTCCATCATTTCTAAGAAACATTCTCACGCTAAAGTATTACAAAGCCTTCCTTTTGATCAGGGCATTCACTGCTGACACTGACTTCTGCAAACTCTAGCTGCAAGAGGAAGAAAGAGAAAGATTTATGTTGCAGGACTGGGATTCTTAATGAAGTGAATGAAATGTGAAGTGAATGAAACGTAAAGTGAAATGAAAGTGAATCAAATGTACTTACAGCTTTTTAAAAACAAGTAATGCTATTCTTTATCCAAATCGAAAAATTACTTCTACTCCAGAAATGTTTTCACAACAAGCAAAAAATTTGAGTTCATCTATTATGATAAATAAAATGTAGATGTGAAGTTGATGCAATTTAGGTAACTTCTGAAGACTAATAACCCAACGTATGACTGAGAAAATATTGTAAGAAAAAAAGAGGAAACTTGTGGAATAGAGTCTTCCTCTATAAACAAGATAGACTTCATCTCAATCAAAATGGAAGCACACTGGTAGCACTTAAAATGATAATGGTTTTGTAAAGGTTAATATACTGCAGAAGCAAGGAAAGCCACTAAATGCAGAACCACAGATGATTTAAAATGACAACTCCTCTAAAAGTGAGATTATAGGAATTCTTTGCTTAGTCAGTTTAGACTGAAAAACTAAGTTGGGGGTGTTATGTGAAGACTAGATAGAAGACACTATCCATGACTGCTTATGAATCACAGGGTATTTCAATTCACTACCTCTGCAGAAACAATAAAAGTGGGAAGTACACTATTACTAAGGTTAAATTTAGAAGAGGAACTACAAAAATATGAAGAAGTTAGTTGCAGCTTAGTTTCTTTTTAACAGAAAGATTAAAGTCTTTACAGACTGTAAGACAACGATTAAAAGACAATATATTGAAAGTTCAAAAGGAAAGTATTTTTGAAAATCAGTCAGAGTTTGGAGGGGAAGCTATTAGAAGTAAGAACGTATCTTGTATAAAGTTAAGCCATGATCAAAAGGAAAAACAAAAAGCTCAAGCTGTCAGGTTACAGCAGTGTGCAGTAAGGTAGTCAAATAGCATTAACGTCATGTTTGCCTTTTTTTTGCACTTTTCCCTAAGCATTCATTACAGCTTACTATCACAGGCATGCTGCTAGAACAGGCTGGCCTTTTATTTCATCCAGTACAATCATTTTTATATTCCCACTTTGCATGCACTACATGTTGAATTTGAAGTACAAGGCTTAGTTGGGAAATTTACATTTGAACCTCATCTTGATGTTATAACATTTTTCATAAAAATATGCTGATCCATAAAAATATGATGATATTGGTGTTAGACTTGCTTGCTCAGTGTGTTCCAAAATTTCATTTAGAAACTAGATAGAAAATAAAACCCACCCCCCACCCCAAGACTTGCCCTCCTAACTTGTAATACGTACAGATTTTCCCAGACAGTTTTCCTACTAATGCTTTAGCCGAGTCTAAGCCAAAAAAAACATCTAAGCATGACATTAACTATATAATTAGTCCTCCAGAAGTCAATGTATAAAATTAAAACTGTTCAGACCTGATCCTAAAGATACACTTCCACCCGATCTAAACACAAATCTGAAATCAACACACAGAACATGGGTAGAATTTATTAGTCTGTCAGATGGAAGATGATGCTGCAGAAAAAAAAAAAAGGCTCACACACTTCAGAAACACCTGCATATGGTGATTCCAGGAGGCAGAAGTTTTCCATGTCCACAAAACATTCAGTCACCTTATAATTCAAATCCTGTAGTGGTTAAAATTTATATTGAACACTAACAGCATGTGGTGGGTTGACCTTGGCTGGACACTAGGTGCCCACCAAAGTCCCCTTTCGCTCCCCTCCTCAGCTGGACAGGGGAGTGAAGATATATCGAAAGGCTCGTGGGTCGAGATAAGGACAGG